GGATCAAAATTAATTCAGTTCAGGGACATATCTGTCCCTTAAGTCTTTCAATCCTAAACAAATAACCTCCCGAATAATTAATGAGTATGAGAAGTTATTTCAAAGCCTCCAAATCGGACTGGACGGGATTTCAAGTCCGCGCAATTAGTTGCAGTTCTCGGCTGCACCTCGGACTTAAACTAATTGCGCGAACTTGAAATCCCGTCCAGTCCGATTTGGAGGCTTTGAAATATTATTTAAAATCTCGTAATTCCATGCGTTCGTTCTCTATGCGTTCGCAAACTTTTAAAGGTTTTTTAGAAATTGGCTAAGCGCATTTCGTCATCAGTCGGTTGATATCATCGTCGTTGTGATCAATTGTGATTTTAGGTRATGATCTCATTACGAATTGCCTGGCGGAGATCGTACAACCACCGCACAAAATGTGATCAATCCACGATCAATTCCGGCCGTCTCATCGGTCCTAGCGGGTCAAGTCTCGAGTGTCGCTCAGGCTGCAGTGGGTACGTTGGCAGCATGGATTTCAAATGTACAGATTTCAGCGTGCACGAGAATTGGTCAGCTGGTGGAAGGAACTACACATATGGATTCTCTGATATTCATCCTCCACTTTACCAGGCCAGGTAAGTAAGGGAGGGTTGGGCCAGTGGAGATCACCTGGCTTTTAATATTGGATATTTTTAAAATAATTTTTAAAAATAAAATGAAAATGAACGCCGAAAATACTTTATAAAACAGAGCGGCGGTCGTTCAAACTGTCAGTATTTTTATTTAAAATAAAAAGAAAGTTGATGCTAAGGAACAAGCGAAAATTTACTGCAGCGTGCGTTTTATAGCAATCCTAAACTTTTTAATGAATTATCACCAAAAACCAGCCAATCAAACTAAATTTCTGCAAAAACTATGATCCTATAGTTTTACGGGTGGAGACTGGATCTACTTGAACAATGGAGGCGGGAACTGGGAGGTGAGAATGTACGTTAATCTGACGAAACGAAGAGACACAGGGCGCATAAACACATCACCAAYTACCGCCATGTCACCGATCGTCAGACTGCAATATGGTTGTCATCACACTCTTGTAATACCAGGTAAGTATACACCTATTCCAAAAAACGTCGATCGCTCGGAGATCTGAAATCTGAGATCGAGTACCACGCTGCAAAATGTAATACAGTCGACTCTCTTTGAACGACCACTCTCGTACGCGACCATCTCCCGTAAGCGATCACCTTTTGAAATTCTCGTTTTGTTCCCCATATACACTCTGTAAAAAAAACTCTCGTAAGCGACCACTCTCGTAAGCGACCGCGACCACCTTTGGGGTTAAAATTTTGGAATTTTTCATTGTTTTCCCTCTCCCGTAAGTGACCACCCAAGAGCCAGTTAATGCAGATCCTTTAACAATAAAAAATTTAAGAACATAGAGTCATCGGGTATTAAAAACCCGACGAAATATTGACAATTATAGTACTGTAAACATATAGCACATTAAAAGTTTTGATTAAAACAGTTTAATCGTTAATACAGTAGTTTTAACACGTGAGTTTCAAACCATAAATGGTTTAGGCTTCCTGTGTTGGGATTCTCATTGTTTGGGCTTCCTGTGTTAACTGTCTAGTAAGCGACCATCTCCCGTAAGCGACCACTTTCTCCTGGCCCCAGGGTGGTCGCTTACGGGAGAGTCGACCTTTGAGTTAGAAAAGTGACTTTTTGTATTTTAGCCAAAATAAAACAAAAGTACAAAAAGTTCGTTTAGTGTCATATCGCCAATTCCAGATCTGGGTCAGATCTCCGACAGATAATACGTTTTTTGAAATAGGTTACATTGAATCGGAAAATGGTGATTAAATAAATGACTATTGTTCTGCACTGACTAGCGACTGTTGCTAGTCAGTCCAGAACAATAGTTATTCAATTGGTCTCCATATTTAGTACTATGTATTGGCGAATCGGCTGAATGTACGTTCGGTAACGAAAGACTCTGAAAGGCGAAAACGCGATTTCCGAAAGCCTCTTTCTTTGTTCGGTTAAACGGTATCATGCATGAAGAAGACAGTATCACTCACAAAGTCCGCTTTCAGTCTTCTCCGATAAGAAATTAACGAAGGGTTTTGGGCCAATCAAATCATTGGTTGATATAACAATAAAAAGACACAAAACAATAAAGTCGGAAACAGAACGCTCCCAAACTTTTTCCGAATCTAGGAGATTTGCTCCGAGTTTTTTCTTGTCTTAGCGCTAACCTTGGGAGCAATAATATAGATGTTAGATTTTAAAACTTGTATTTATCAGTTAGTCTCGATTACATTTGCCTAATTTTTAAACTGAAGGCTCGACCGTTCAATCAATTTTTCGGGAGGACCTGCCCCTGGACCTTCTCTTCAGTTTGCGTCTTAAGCGGTCTTTGACCCCAAAGCCCTTTACTCAAATCCTGAAAGCGCCATTCATGACCAACTGAAATCATTCAAACTGTTTTGTATCTCRCAGTCAGTGATGCAGATAAGGATGACATACGATGTCGATGGGCTGAATCAAGTAAATATGAATGCGCCGGCGTGTGTAAGACCTTCCCTGGAGCCATCCTGGACGAGGTAGGAATCAATGTCAATACCTTATAGTTATTTCAGTTTTCTCATTTTTATAGCGAGGACAATTGCACAATGACTATCATTACGAGCGTCCTTTTCCATCTATCTTTGTCTTTGAAATATCCTTTGGATGCCATTCCCTGTTGTATGTCACATACTAGAAATGTATTAAGGATCATATATTAAATTAATGTCATTGCTGAAGAAATTATGCCGAAAAAATGTGCAAACAATATTACAACATATTCTTTGGAAGCAACAACATTTTTTGCATTTTTGTTTTGCATTTTTGTTTTGCATTTTTGTTTTGCATTTTAGTTATAATATTTTAGGAGCTCGAGGAGTTAGTTTGAAATCATTTTACGAAATAAGTATAAATAAAAGTTTTATCTATTAAATATTACTTTCCCAGCGAAAATGCCAAATAAACTACTTGGCCAATCAACGTATGGGATGGTATGCGGTTGCCATCATGGTCGAAGATTTCACAGATCAYTTATCATGGACTCCTTTAAGCAGTGTTCCCCTTCAGTTCTTGGTCCAAGTTTTTAATTCCGCTGCTAACTGCACGAGTAAACCAGAATTCAGTGGAGAAACGAGGGCAAGTGGGTCGTGTGTTGGAGTACYTCATAGATCGACATTCAAAGAGCGTCTCGTTGCTAAAAGCCAAGGCAAGGGAAACAGGTAAAACGTGTTTTCTATAAATTTTATACGTTATCCCTG